CTTTTCTTCTGTATTGGACTTAATTTAAAGAAAATATAAATGGAGACATAAAGAGGAATATTCTTGAGGTGGACGATAGCGGATTAATGGAAGTCTTGATGGGAGGAAGAAGGAGCTTTGTTTCAGTCGTTTCAGGCAGTTGGACACCTGAGCATGTAATAAAGTGCAACAACTTTCTGCTTCTTGTTTTGGTCCATAAGGAGGGAGGTAGAGGACAGTTTAACGTACCATCTCTGTCAAAAGTCATGCTGCAAGTGCACATGCACAGCCTCAGATTCCAATTACAAACTATTTGGTCACAGTATCAGTTCGGAACAACCAGCCCTGTTGGCTAAAAACCATAAGATTGGTTCTTCAGAGGTCATTCAAGCGTTTAAACCTCGAATTAAATCCTTTTTTAAACAAATAGTTCGTTCGGTTTTCGAGTTACAACAATATAGTTATCTTATTTTCACAAAAGTGGTGCATTTGAAACTAACATCAACAATATAATCTAAGACTTTCAATAGCATTTACTGACAACTGAGATTAATAAAATCATCTTTTAAAAATTAAAAAAAAAAAGAAATTAACATCAACAAGGGACTCTTAATAAGGTTCGATCAAAATATAATTTGAATATAAAAATAACTCACATTGACACACCGATTGAACTATAGTCTTGAAATTTTTTTCTTAAAGGCTTTTGAGTTTTGAATTTAAATTTTATGATAAATTATAAATGATTTATAAAATAAGAAAAAAGCTTAAAGGAACAATTTAATTTCAATAACCTAGAAAAAAACCCTCTACAAATGTACTTGCTATAATTGTTTGAGTTACCTGCTTGTGGCAGATTCATAAATTTTTCTGAATGATGTTATAGTTAAAATAATGATAAAAATTAAAAAAATATTAATTATTAGTCCATAGGGAGACAGAAACATGTGTAAAGTAAGGTGAGTGAAATAAATTGACTTGATGAAAATCTTGCATGTTTCCACTGTTTCTTGAAGCGAAATTTATTTGAGGAATCAAGTTGTAGCTAGCTAGGAAGGCTAATGGTGATTATCAAAGATGTAATTCTAATGATAATATATAGTAGCTTAAATCGACAAAAAGTTCAGCCCGAATATCTACAAATCTTCTGCTCTAACAATTACATATTCTGCCAAAGTACTGTAGCTAGCTTAGCCCCAAAGAAAGCTAATCAGTAGAGACCCCGCATCTCAAATATTCTTGCTGATTAATCTTTTCAGGGTGCAGTCGTTTCCTGCCACTGAGAGGGACTCCAAAAAGCTTCACAGTGTTGTTTGGCTCCTCTGTTGGAGTCATTGATGACTTGCCCAAAACGCTGCTTTTAGCATTTTCATTGCCAGAATGGATTGGATCTTGAAACGAAGGACCCAATTCTCTGATCTTTGGTCCCAAACTATAAGCTTTTTGCTGATAAGGCACTGGTTTTACATGATTTTGGATAAAATAAATGATATCGTTGTAAAGGTTCTTCATGTGAGTGAGTTCAGACACAAGCATGTAGTTCTTTCTGCGTAGTCTCTGATTATCTTGGGTGAGTGCTGCTAGAACATCGGCGCTGGCTTTCGGAGATGGCGACGGGGACTCGATCCATCCAAAGCCTTCTTCTGGCTTGAGAAGCTGGGCTTGTTGTTCATGGTGGTTGTCTTGGTGATTTTGAGGGGTTTTTCTTCTATGGATCTCCGATAGCAGATGCTTTTCTCCTTTCCTGAAATACTCGTTTGCAAACTCCCATCTGTCTGTCACTACCTTCTTAAATCCCTGAGATTTTTTTAACCATTACCAAGATTGAGAAACTCTATGCAACCATCTTTCAACACAAAGTCTCAACTGAATATATTACGAAAAGCAACTCTATTAAGATCGTCAAAAACTGGAATGAGACTGAGAGCTTCATTCAGTGATCAAGTAAAGGAAAGAGTGCATATATAGCAAATGATTTGATTGTTGAGAATCATATATTGAAATACTGAGCATCCAGTACATTGATCGATCTCTGCTGATATTTGAACATAAAAAACAACAACAATAAGATAAAGATCTTGAGAAAAAAAATGGATAAACAACACATCGTTTAAGCAATCAATTAAAGGCTGAGAGAAACCTAGAGTCCTAAACTTCGTGGAACTTAAAGCCTGGAAAGCCATTTAAAATCATATTACATTCAAAGCAAAACCAAGTTGGGGAGAGAGAGAGAGAGGCTCACATAGGTATTGAGCTGCCTGACAAAGCTGGAGAAGTTGTTGTGCTTGAAATAGTTTGGCAGAAGATCCCTGGCAAACTCAGGGGGTCTCCACACAACAAAGCTTGTCTCATCTTCACCCCATGAGACAATGTGGTCTGTGAGAGGGTCATCAACAAGCTGGTAGGTCTTTGCAAGAAATGGTGCAGGAACTGCCTTTTGGGATTCCACAGAGAACACCAACTCTTCACACCTCTCCATTGTGAATGCCATTATACCAAATGCTAAAGATTAGCAAGGGGTAGTTTCCATCCTCATTGCACTCCAAGTATAAGGCGTTTAAAGCACAGGCACTTCTCTCTCTCTCATTATAGCTTTCTAGCTTTATGAAACAGAAACATATGACCTTGTCACTAAAATAAAAGCTACTATTCTTTCCTCTCTCTCTCTCTCTCTATAGTTTATAACTTTAAGAAGCATATGACCATGTCAGCCAAAAAAATTGAATATTTATAGAATTACTATAATAAGATCCAATGAACTATTAATTAGCTATTGATTGTCCATTTGACAGCAGAATGGGCGGTGAATGGTGATGCTTCATGAACTCTTCCAACTTTTCCCTTTGATTAGGGCACTCCCAATTTCTGATCTCCGAAATCTCTTTTTAATTCAGTGACCTTTATTACTTTTGTTAACACCTGAAAGTACTACCCTTCTTGACAAACTGATTATTTTACTCAACTTCTGTTTTGCCAGGGATTAAAATGGTTTTTGCCTTGCAGATTACACAAGCTATTATTTGTTGTTCCATAGCTTTTATGTTTCTGTCTTTTAGAACAAGGTCGATACTCTGTCTATATACAAGATCAGGTTTAGCCTCACTATTGTTATCCTTCTTTATTAAGAGAGTTCAGATATAGGTCGAATCTTCTGTCCATTCTTTGTTTTTCATCAGAGTCGATATCCCTCTTGAGAAACTTGTTTGCAGCTAGAGATTCTCACACATGACACCGATATTCTCGAGAATGAATTCCTTCATTATTAATTAATGGCAGCTTAATCTTGACTAAAAGATTCCACAATCGGGATGTACCAGGTTCAACTGATGTGGTCCTAGAATAATTAAATCAGTGCTAGCCATAGCTGAAAAAAAAAAAGTGGAGTGCCCCGAATAGTTTTTCCATGTTTCAAAAGGATGGTCAGCTTGCAAATTTATTTACTTTTTTTTTTCTGAACATAAAGATCCAAATCCAATTGCAGATTTCAAGATTAAATGATGTGATGAAATGGTTTTAATGTTGTTCTGTCCTCCCTAGCAGGAACATTATATTTTTATCTAGAACCATAGCTTGGGTGCTAGCAGCTACAAAGCTTTCATCATAAACTTTAATATATATATATATATATATATATATATATATCCATCTCCATATTATATATTTAATCAATTCAAAAACTTTCAACAGGCTGCTGTTTGATTATATATATAATACAGTGTTTCAGTGACATTCAGAAGCACTAACTCTATTAGATTTATTGGAAATAAACAGTAAATGCAAGTTGGCAAGGGAAGGTGCATGGGTGATGGTTCTAATCTGTCTCACTCTCCTTCTCTCTAGCCATCTTCAAATTCTTGATGACTCTTTGCATAATAAATTAATTATTTAACAAGCTGAGACAAGATTTCAAATTAGTTGTTAATTCTAAATTTCAATTTGTTCGTAGTAAACAGTTGATGCTCACACGCTTGTGCTGAGTGCAATGCATATTGGTAAACAGAATATATAACAAATACTATTAAATTAATAAAACACAACGCTTACTGGGATGGCCAATTTTGTTTTATTTAATCTCCTGATTTCAAAATTTTATAATATCCAATACTTAGCATTTTCCTAAACCAACCTCTCACATTTAGTTTCATATAGAGTTTTATACAAATATATATAGAGCCTCAAAACATTCAACAGAGCTGTAAGGCAGAATAAAGTAAACAAAAGATTGTATATTGAATTAACAATAAACTACCACAAATTTGAGTGATACACGTATTCATACAACGATACATTATGGGATGATAAATGAAGAAACTTTAAGAAAAAGAGAGGGAGAGAAAGAAGTTTAGAGAGATAGTAGACAAGAGGAAGAGAAAAGCAAATGCACAAGTTTCTTTAATTTTTTTCTGCTTGAGAACTTAGTTGGTTCTCCTCTTCTTTAAATAGATTACAAACTATGTTCTACAAGGAAATTTTGTCTAACAATAGAGAGAGATTATAGGGGAGAGATTACAGGATTTATACACAAAATTGGTGCAATGTCTCTTTACAAGAATATTGCAACACATACTGTTTTTTTTTTGAAAGATTGAGTTTTTATTAATGATAAGCTGGAATGTCGTGAGGAGTCTTCAACGTTGAGATTTGGAGACTCCTGTTGGCATGGAAGCTATCATAAGAAGAGCCTGTTCTGAACAATTACAAAAGGAGCAGCTGCTCAAGGAGCACTTGGCAGCATCTCAACATGGATAATCTCAAAAACAAGCAGAGTTTTGGATAAATCCCTAAACAAAAGTCTAATACTAATAAAACTCTATCAGAGTGATAAGATAAATGAGTGTTTTAAAACAAACCACCGCCCACCGTGGAGCTCGAACCCAGAGATAACCTTTTAACTGACACAGTAGTATCATAGATGCACAGGACACAAACAAGAAACAGAGGCCACACGCAACTTCCTCCTAATTGATTAAGTTCTTTTCTCTATCTCTTGCTCGACGACCACCCACTCATGCTGCACGCGGGATGCACCAGACCCAGATAAGAATCAGTGCACGTCAGAGCCCCAAACACAAGAAATTAGTCATAGACATTCAACAAATCAACCTGACCCTGCACCGCTCCCTTGGCAAGGCTATCAGCAAGTTGATTAGTTTCTCTGTAGATGTGTTTAATGTCCCATTTCTTAACCTCCTTCTTCAACTTTCAATGTGCAGGATCCACTTCCTAAGCCTCCAAGGAGCAACACATACTGTTATTCTTGCTACTGATCTGCTACCATGTTTGTTGTTGATTTGCTGCTGGTTTGGTGCTGATCTGCTGCCATGTCTGTTTTTGATTTGCTGCTGGTTTGGTGAATAATTTGTTGCTGCTTTATAGGAGATTTTTTACTCATTTGTGGGAGATGATGGTGTTCTACACTCCCCTTCAAACTTGACATGGATGGAGACCATAGTCCAAGTTTGCCACGAAATGCTTTAAAAGTCTTCCGAGGTAATGCCTTAGTGAAAATGTCTGCTAATTGTTGCTTGGAAGGAATAAACTTGGTTTCAAGAGATCCTAAGGCCACCTTTTCTCAAACAAAGTGATAGTCAATCTCTATATGTTTTGTTCCAGCATGAACGCAGGATTAATAGTGAGATGAAGGGTAGATAAATTGTCACAAAGAAGTAAGGCAGGGTGAGCCATATAGAGACCACGATCACACAATAGGTAGGATAGCTAGGTGAGTTCTGCTACCGTCAAGGCTAAAGCTCGATATTCAACTTCAGCACTTGATCGAGCCATAGTAGATTGCTTTCTGGAACTCCAAGAAATGCAATTACCACCAAGAAAGGTGCAGAAACTAGTAGTGGATCGTGGTGTGGAAGGACATCTTACCTAATCTACATCTGAATAAACACAAAGAACTAAAGGATTTTGAGATATTAGTTGAATACCAAATGACATAGTGCCTTTAACATATTTAAGAATTCTTTTAACAAATTGAAAGTGGTATTTAGAGGGTGAATGCATAAATTGAGAGACATAATTAACATTAAAGGTAATATGTGGTCTAGTTAACGTTAAATATTGTAAGCTACCAACAATGCTTCGATAGAGATGGTGATCTTCAGTGGGAAAAAGATTTTTTAAAGGCAGTGGGATAGAGATTGGTTTACAATCAAGTATTTGGGCTTTGGTTAGAAGATCAGTAGCATATTTGGTTTGATTGAGAAAAAGACTTTGAGAAAACTTATGAACTTCTATACCAAGAAAGTAATGAATGAATCCAAGATCTTTCATTGAAACTTCTTTATTTACCGTTTGAATAAAATCATGCAAAGAGTTTATGTCACTACCTGTGAGAAGAATGCCATCAACATATACAAGTAGATAGATGATGCTGTGTGTGCTATGTTTAATAAAGAGTGAGGAATTTACAGTATTGCAAGAAAAACCAATTGAAAAAAAGGAAAAAGCTAAAACGATCAAACCAAGCACATGGAGCTTGACGGAGACCATATAATGCCTTCTTTAGTCTGCAGACATGATCGGGTCTATTAGTGTCTTGAAATCCAGGTGATTGCTTAAGATAGACAGCTTCAAAGATGATGCCATGGAGGAAGGCATTCTTTACATCTAATTGTCTGATATCCCAATTATGTGCTAGAGCAATAGTGAGAACAACTCTGATAATAGCTGGTTTAATGACAAGAGAAAATGTCTCTGAAAGATCTAAGCCCTGTACTTGGGAGTAACCTTTTGCCACCAATCAAGCCTTCAATCTTTCTAAAGTGCCATCTGACTTATGTTTTGTCTTGTAAACCCATTTAGACCTATCAGTTTACTTAATATTTCATATAAAATTCGTATGAAGCTTTTGGTAAACAGATTAAGGCTTTTTTATAAGAGATGGTATGACCATTCCAAGGTAGTTTCCTCCCAAGCAGAAGTACTAGTGATAATATTTTGATTACTCAAGAAGTTGTGCATTTTCTTATGAAACTAAAAGGAAGGAAATGTGGTGTGATTATGAAGATTGACTTACACATAGCCTATGATAGTGTGGATTGGGAATTTCTAAGGTAAGTTCTAATTGATTTTAGTTTTCCCTTGTAATTGATTATTTTGATTATATTTTGTGTTACTTCCAACCAAATATTTCTAATTTGAAATAGTGAATCTCTTTTGTATTTCTTTGCATAATGGGGTTTAAGATAAGGTGATTTTCTGTCCCTATATATGTTTATTTGTGTATGGAGATATTGTCTTATATGATACAAGAGAGCGTTTATAGGAAGAAATGCAAGACAATCAAAGCATTCTGATTGAGCCCTACACTTTCACATTTATTTTTTGCACATGACTTTCTTTTTTTTTTTTGCTCACGTAGATACAGGGCAAATACAGGTTGTTATGGAGTGCCTAATTGAGTTTGCTACAGCATTCGATTTGGTCAATGTTTGCCAAAATCTAAACTCTTTTTTTCTCTTAATGTCTTTGGTACAATTGTTAATTCCCTGAGTGCCGTTTGTGGAATCCCAAT